CCCAGCCACGGCTTTCAGAAGGACAAAGCAGAGATGTTTATAGGATCTACATGACTCAGCATGAAGGTACTGGACCTGAGGACTACCTGAGGATATTTAAATCGTCTTGATGTTTCTCAAAACACCTGTTAGGTAATAAAGAATCTAATAGATCCAAGAATTTGTCTCTCTAAAAGTTGCCGAAAAACGGGAAAATCCACGTTTGTTTTGTTGTTTCAACTGAAGCCAGTTGGCGTGGGTCAACCCAGTCTTGTTTACGTTCAGTTGTTGGTGTAGCTGAACCCAAATCTGACTGAACTGAGTCTCATTAAGCATTTCCTTTAATAGCTACGACTGCATCATTACCGTAGGTCACATTTACACATGAAACTCAGACTGGAAGCACCTGATCTATTAGAGTAAAACCAGTGCTGTAAAGGGTTAAGGTTGGTTTATGCTTGACACGTCCGCGAGGTCCGCACGGCGAAATTGCGTCATTTTAACAACCACGCCCCTCCACCGCGCCTCCGCACGGCCCAAACTTTCCGCACCGCGCACCTAGGAAAATTTTTAACCACGTGGACGGTCGGACGCGGAAAAACAAGGCGGACCGGCAAGAACTAGTATGGCAGAGGTTCGTAAATACAGACATTTGTATGATTCAGCTCTCAGAGATCACCGTGATCAACATGTTGTTAATAATTCTTGGAGAGGAATAGCTCGCACTGTCGGAAAAGACGAGGACGCTGTTAAAAATGCTGGAATGCCATGTTGTAAACAGCAGTAGTTTTTACTTCTACTATGGTGTAGTGTTGGATGCATGCCGTAGAGCTCCATGCTGCCCCCTACAGTTTGGGAGAATATTGGCTCACCGCAGAGACGAGCCGCATGAACCATAAACGCTGCGAGCTGTGAAGCGCGTTCCATACGCGAGCCGCATCGCCAAGCGGAAAGTAAATGTGTCAAGCATAAACCAAGCTTTAGGGTTACTGCGGGTCAAACTGAAACAACAAACAGAACGAGCCAACTCAAATTAAATAGACTGACTAAGGGTAAGTACATTAGATTAGAATAACTACATTGTCAACAAGCTTAATTTAATTAAGTGGAAATTATCTAAATGATTTTTTTTAAGTTCAACCAACACATAATTTCATTGAGTGTACAGGAATAAGAGTTCCTCTGCACCTCAGCAACAGATATCTATGTTCAGAAAACCTGAGGAGTGAGCTAAATCAGCCGGGATCAGCTTGGCCTTATCACCGACCAGGCCACAACTGTGAGGTCACCGCGATCTGCGCCGGATATTTTGCTGCACACCCTGACAAAAACCGGCTAACCGTTCCTGTTCTAAAAGTTCTAAAAGTCTGGATGACGTTAAAAGTTGATAAAGACTCAATGAAACATCCTCATTAAAGTAGAATCCACATTAACACGGCTGAGCTTTTGGTAAAAATGCCTCAGCTGGGGATCTCAGATACAACTGCTGAACACTTTCATTTCTCCATCATGAATCTGATCTGAGGGCTTAAGTCTAATTTGTTTATTTTCTCTGAGGAACCAGTGGCTGACACTAGAAAGAGTGAACCATAACCCCTTAACGTGAAGTCACAGAAACAGACAGTGTGGTGCATTTACGGACCAAAGGGTTATGCAGGGTATCTGCAGGTTTAAGGGAGCCAAATTTAAGACTTTTTAAGACCTTTTTTAAGGCCACTTTGACCAAATTTAAGCTATTTTTAAAAATTAAATTTAAGCTATAATTTCCAGCTATTGCCTGGAACCGGTGCTAACCACATCGTGAACGTGGGATTAGCCATTCAGTTACCATTAAACTTGCACTTCCCCATGGCGCAAGCTCCCACTAGCTTAACCAGCTAATGTGCTCATCTAAAAAAAATAGCCCCCTTTCACAACCAGCTGACTGCGTACGGTTCCGCTTACGTCAACATCGTACACAAAAACTGCTGAACACTAACTAGAAATTCACGGAATTTTTATAGAAATAAAAGAATCTTGTTTATTGGGTCTTTGGTCATTTAAGACCTTTGGAAACTGGATTTAAGGATTATTTGTCATTTTTAAGGACTTTTAAGGCCTTAAATTAGGAAAAGCTAATTTAAGGCTTTTTAAGACTTTTTAAGGACCCGCGGATACCCTGTTATGGTTTTGAGTCCATTTCTCCATTCAGTGTGTGAATCTTACAAAGATGGTTGTCTGAAGTAGAGGAATGAAAACTTTTGGTAAGAATTTGCAGTTTAGGAAAAAGAAATTCACTTTACACTTCTAACTGAAGGAACAGTAAATTAATCCAGATCAGGTCACAGGTGTCCAAAGTGTGGCCCGGGGGCCACTAGTGGCCGTCGGAGTCATTTAGCGCTGTCCCCAGTAGCGTTTCCAGAATAGTGGACTTTTTGACTCTCCAACCCAAAATTGATATAGATGAAAATTTTAATGCTCAGATCTTTACTAACATGAAGCATATTTTTTTAAAAGTACACTGTAAAATAATGTTGAAATTACTTTAATTAATGACATTTTATTTTGTGGCCAATGGGGAGGATTTGTTGCCTGGCAAGCCGTAGTCTGGTCATGAGCAGTGACGGGAACAACGCCGTTTAAAATAACGGCGTTCTTTTTTTGGGTAACGGAATAATCTAATTAATTACTGTTCCCACTGTTGCACCGCCGTTACCGTTACTGGGGACGGGAGGTTGTGCGTTACTATGTGCTTGTCGAACGTTGAGCAGCAGTGTGAGGCTTTCTGACCGCCACACTTCAGCTGCAGCCAGGGAGAGAGAGGTGTCGGTAACGCGCTTACAAACACGATGATGATTGGCCGGGTGGGCGGAGACCCTCACGGTCTCAGTCGCTGTCTGCTGTAGACGCAACAGAGCAGTGATGGGAGTAACGCCGTTTAAAATAACCGCGTTACTAAAAAATATTTCTTTCAGTAACGAGCAAACTAATTAATTACGTCTTCTTTTATCAAAACGTGGTTTCTGTTACTGATAAGGAAATGCGTGCGTTAAGCAGCGCGGTGTGTTGAAGCTGTCATCAGCTGATCAGGAGCTAAAGAGGCAGATGTTTTCATCCAAGAGCATCACGGTCGTGAAGAACGAGGAAGACGTGATGAATATCTACGGCTGCAGGTGTGGATCTTCTTAGCGTGACAGCGGGACGTCCTGAAGGTCCGCTCACCTGTTCACCGCTCAGACGTCCTGATCTTCTGCCTTCCTAGATCATCCAGCTGTAACCTGTTCCTGATCATGTCTTTAGTCCCGCTGTAACACTGATGCATCAGTCTCAGACGGCATGGAGCTCAGGTGTTATTAGAACTACCTGTGTGTGTTTACCACCCAGCTTCAGCTCTTCTGTGGTTGGGTCTGACCCAAGTTAGTAAATGTGAGTCCTCCATCAGGCTTGTGCCTCTTCTAGTGTCATTTTAAAGGATTTTATTTATTTATTTAACCATTACTAGATTAGCAGCAACAGAAATGCTACTAAAACACACAATTATGTGAAGCTGGAAAAATTAAACTACTGTACAAAATTACATTCATTTCTGTAATTTAACTAGACTGAGAGACCATTTAAAGGCTCGGGAACCTTTACAGGTGTTTCTATTTGCAGTTTTAAATGTTAGCTGATTAGGGTCTTGTTAAATATCACACAGTGACCTTTTAATAGTCTAGATAAGTGTAATGTTCCTGTTAGTAGTTCCTCCTGTTAAGTGCTTATTTGTTTAAATTATTCAGGTTTATAAAAACATTTTGATATTTTATTATTTTCCAGTCATTAGTCATTTATATTTCACTGTTGTAGTCATTTATAGTAAATTAAGTAAGTTCAATTAGCCCATTTTTCTTGCATTCTTTAATGAAAAAAGTAACTAAGTAGTTATTTTTCTTGGTAATTAGTTACTTTTATAATCTCGTAACTCTGTAATTAATGGAGTTACTTTTTGGACAAAGTAATTAGTAACTATAACTAATTACTTTTTAAATGTAACTTTCCCAACACCGGTCATGACCCACAGACAAGAGCTCAGTCGTGGGGCGACAATGTCTCCGTTCCATTGGACAACGCTAGGACCAATCAGAACAATGAACAACATGATGTAATCCTCGCTACGGAAACCAGTCAACAGGGCAGTCCGCCATACACTGTTGAAGAACAAGTACTTCTGTTTGCTCATGTCTCCAAAAAAAGGCCTGAATCATCTAAAGTTGGGGCCAAAGCCATTTTTAATTAGAGCTGTTTCCTGAGCTGGAGCCAGGGGCGTGTCCATGGAGTGGCCTGGGGTAGCACATGCCACCCTTGGAATCTGATTGGCCACCCCAGGTGCCACCACACTAATTTACATTTAAATAGTCTTTTCATTGTCCACAAAAGGCTTGGGCGTAAAATAAAAAAAGCATAACCATTGGTGCCACCCATGCACAAAGTTGTGCCTCACCTGGGCCACCCCATTTTAAAAGATCTGGACACACCACTGGCTGGAGCCATCTTTGTAGTTTTTCTCCATTGCAGCTCTGGTGCTAAGCTTACCAAAAACAAATGGCTTGGTCCACTGGTAGACCTGCTGAGGCTACAGTGGAGCGTGGATAGGAAGACCTGCAGAATGTTTTGCTACTGCTTTGGTTTGTCTAGATTTCTAGGCTAGGCTAATCGTGCTCTCGTCACGAAGGCTTGGGTAAAGAGGAGGATAGAGTTTTTTCTATTCTGTGGCAGGTACTGCTCACTGAAGATGTTCTTAAAGCACCTCCTGGTTTATGTTGTTTTCTAACGTTCTGAGTCTAGCATCACCACACAGTCTCCCAGGCACAGAAAAAAAGCTCCTGCAATGATTATTCCACAGTTAGCTGACTCGGTAATGTTTTGGCTGACTGATCTTAGTCTACCTCAAACAGAGGTGTCCCAGTTCAGCTATATTAGGAAAAGGATCCACTTTAAAATCAAACTCCTGGAGCTGCTTCACATCAGGAGTGCACACACAGCGTACAGCTCAGGGCACTCACCATCCTTGCGGTGGTAGGTGATCTCCACCTTGCGCTCCTCAGAGCCCAGCAGCGCCTGGGCCACCTGGGCCACCGCGTGCCGGCTGGTGAACTGGCCGTGCAGGAAGTCGCACGTGCACGGCCTCTGCATGACGTCCGGCCTGGAGAAGCCCGTCATCTCGCAGAAGCCATCGTTGCAGTAGATGATCGCACAGTTCTGCACGCGGGCATTGGCTATGAGGAATTTCTTATCTGTCGTTGGGGAAGAGATAAACGTCAAATTAAAAAAGATAAAAGACACGAGCGTGTAAGGTGTTTTATCTTGTTCTGTCACACACACACACACACACACTTAGAAATAAGCACTTGCTTTGAATTCAGTACAGCATTAAAGTCGCATTTTCCATCACGTTGTTTACCACGCTGATGTTAAACCCTTTAATAAATACATAAAATAATGTTACTGTTATTGTTTTCTTTGTCGCTTGGTGCAAGAATATGATGTCATAATTGTGTAAAAATAGCAAATATTAAGATCAGGGTAATAATACTGCAAAGTAGTACTATACTTTTATTCAAAAATCATTTTAGTTTAGTAGTTTATTTATTTTTGGTGTTTTTTCAGCAAAGTTTCGAGCATTTCCTTATAAAATGAATGCTCTTCCAAATAAACAATAAATAAACGATAATCATACAAGAACATAAACAAATAATTCGAAAGCAGTGACATCTATGTGTTGTTTTTGTTTAGTGGTTTATTTTAGTAAAATTTCCTGCATGTTAGATTGCTAATCAGGCTTAAATTTGCCCCAAAATCTCTTTTTTGCTGTAAAAACAAAACGAATCATAAATGATAAATTAGGTTTAGGTGACAAGATAATTATTTTAACACAAGTTAAGAGGAATAAAAATAGATTTTAAACAAAGTAAACACGAGCATTATTAACACAGGAGCGGTTATATGAACCCTAATGGTGTTTACCCAACATGACCCCGTCAGATGTGGTATCCGGCCTCTAATAGGAGCTCTCCTAACAAGTGCACGCACCAGGACGGGGATACTCACTTTGTCCTTCGAATTTCCGAATAATCACTCCCAAGAATGTGTTTTGTGGCGCAACATGACCTCTCCGCACAGGCATGGTTCCTCCTACAGAGACAGGACGGTGGATAAATCTTTGGCCGAACCCGAGCGAGCCGGTGAGCGGGTGTAAGCCGAAGCCAGAGAGGCTCCCAGGTTTCTTTTGTCAGCACTCAGACATCCTCGTGAGAAAATCTGACTCCTCCGCTTGCTCCTCTCCTTCTTCACCTCCTCCTCCTCCGTTTATTTATTTATTTCTTAAATTCCTCCCCTCCCCTTATTTCAACTCCCCGCGCGCGAGCGCATCTCAGAGGCTCCTTCCCTGCGCTCCTCGCCGACGTGAAGCGTGAAAGAAAGGAAGAGTCGGCGACTCGCAGCATCACCAACATCTCACCGCTGCTCCTCGAGCGGCTCGTCTCCGAGCGCGAGCAGCGCGCGCGCGCGTGTGTGTGGGGTTGGGTGTAGGAAGCGGTGAGGGGGGAGGAGGAGGTGTTGTGGAAGAAAGACGGATGGTTTCTGAGCCAACACCGACACGCAGAGCAGGGAAAACCCACACTGTAACAGTTTAGGCGTTTAGCTTAGTGCCTGAACAAAAAGCCCAACTTTACCAACCGGATGTTAGTTAATAAACACGAGAACGTGACTGAACGTGCTGTTTTAAAATCTACTTCTGACAGGTGAGTCGTTGCTCCGTGGTGCACCTGCGAGTCACGCGCCCGGCAGCAGAGGAGGGCGGGGGGAGTGACGTCACGCCCGCTCCCAACGCAGGTGCAGGCCATTAACGGAAAACCCTCCTAGATGTTTTAAATGTCGGTCGCGTGCTCAGGTTTCCACCGCAGCCTGCTTACTGTAACACGCAGGGTTTCCCACGGAGCGGAGCAGGGCTCCAGGGCGGCTGCGGCCGGGTTCGGAGGCGCTGTCCACGGTGCTGACCGCACCCGGGAGGGAAGCCCTCTCAATAATGGATGATTTCAGTTTAAAAAATACATTTTCAGCTTTATTCCTTCATAGAGCTCACATGCTCTGAATATATAATAAACCCCTTATAATTAATGCAAGATTCACCTGTCTAAAATATAATGATTTTTGTTTTAGACAGTCAGGGTGGGAGTTTGGTGCCGGTTCACCCAATCCAGAACTAAAGAAAGGACAATAGTGGACCCCGGCCCTTGAACTGTTCATCCTCCTTCCTTCAGGCAGAAGGCTGAGCTGCTGAAGTAGCTCTTTCCCTGTGGTTGTGAGGCTAATGTGTTCTCCTGTGTCTGCACGATTTTGTAGAAGATAATTCTGAAATGTGATTTTATTAATAAAGGGTCATTGTTGGAGCTCAGGCTTTGCTTTGCTAAATTATATCATTGGTTGCTTGACCATTTTAGACTCACTCACGAAGGTGCCGTTTTTTGCTCACTAAATTTCAACGTTGAAATTCAGGTTGATAAAAATAGTAAATAGAGTTCACTTATTTCAGGATCGACACGCTAATAGCTATTAGGACTGCATAAGATCAAAATTCACTGCTGCAATCTTAGAAAGTTGCATTTTCAGTTATATTATTAGCGCAGTTGTTGGACAAGATGGAGAGTAGAGGGAGGTGGATTGCACAGCCCATATCCTGGCCTTTACTCCAACATTCCACCATCTAAAAGGCTAGGTTATCCCGAGTTAACTCTTCAGTTATGCTGCTATAGGCTTAGACATTCCACCATCTAAAAGGCTAGGTTATCCCGAGTTAACTCTTCAGTTATGCTGCTATAGGCTTAGACATTCCACCATCTAAAAGGCTAGGTTATCCCGAGTTAACTCTTCAGTTATGCTGCTATAGGCTTAGACATTCCACCATCTAAAAGGCTAGGTTATCCCGAGTTAACTCTTCAGTTATGCTGCTATAGGCTTAGACATTCCACCATCTAAAAGGCTAGGTTATCCCGAGTTAACTCTTCAGTTATGCTGCTATAGGCTTAGACATTCCACCATCTAAAAGGCTAGGTTATCCCGAGTTAACTCTATAGTTATGCTGCTATAGGCTTAGACATTCCACCATCTAAAAGGCTCGGTTATCCCGAGTTAACTCTTCAGTTATGCTGCTATAGGCTTAGACATTCCACCATCTAAAAGGCTAGGTTATCCCGAGTTAACTCTTCAGTTATGCTGCTATAGGCTTAGACATTCCACCATCTAAAAGGCTAGGTTATCCCGAGTTAACTCTTCAGTTATTCTGCTATAGGCTTAGACATTCCACCATCTAAAAGGCTAGGTTATCCCGAGTTAACTCTTCAGTTATGCTGCTATAGGCTTAGACATTCCACCATCTAAAAGGCTAGGTTATCCCGAGTTAACTCTTCAGTTATGCTGCTATAGGCTTAGACATTCCACCATCTAAAAGGCTAGGTTATCCCAAGTTAACTCTTCAGTTATGCTGCTATAGGTTTAGACATTCCACCATCTAAAAGGCTCGGTTATCCCGAGTTAACTCTATAGTTATGCTGCTATAGGCTTAGACATTCCACCATCTAAAAGGCTCGATTATCCCGAGTTAACTCTTTGCTGCTATAGGCTTAGACTGCTGGAGCACTGACCAGCTGTTAACTTTATTTTCTCTCTAAGTGTTTTTCTCTTCAGAAGAAGCTACAACGATGTTCTGCTGAGCTGTGGTGGCATCATGGAGGGGGCCATCGGCTAGCACACTGCTGCTAACCACTTAAACATTCTTCCTCTCCTGATAATAACTTTTTACTGTATTTAACATAGAAAGTGCTACTAGTTCATCCAATTATTTGTGTGTGTGTGTGTGTGTGTGTGTGTGTGTGTGTGTGTGTGTGTGTGTGTGTGTGTGTGTGTGTCCAACTTGTCTTCTCAAACCTACTGTCTGTTGTAACAGACGGCTGCTTATACTGAGCAAAGTTCTGTTGTTTTCTTTTTGTTTTATTTTTTTGCTAAAGGGGAGTTTTCCTCTCCACTCTCACTACATGCTTGCTATATGAGGATTGCTGTTAAGTCTCTGACACAAGTCAGTGACTCGATGCAACCCGCTGGTTTTCGATACATAAAATACATTTAAATGGAACAATGAACTGACCTCAATGCACTGATAAGTAAGTTGAGTGGGATTGTTTACTATGTAAAGTGCCTTGAGATGACTCGTTTTGAAATGGCAGTACATATAAAAATAAACTGAATTAAATTGAAAGTATACTTTAGTTCACATGGAATTCATTCTCTGGTTGTTTACAAAGGTAAATATCACCGTCATCAGCCAAGTGTGCCACTATATTGCATCAAAGGAAAGTTCAATGTAAAGCTAAACTGCAAATAGATCAATCTTTACAAAACATGTTTTGTCTTAAATGAATCGGTAAAGACAATTTAACTTAAATAAGTACTATTAGCTAAAATATATTAATTTATTATTTTATGTTTCTGTATTAATCTGTTCATCTTCATGTCAACTTTAAGTGTGTCTGATAAACAGACTTATATATTTTTTTTAAATATTTGTGGATTCATGGGAAAAAACAAGCACGAACAAGCGATTTTTGTGGATTTCAGGCACAATAAAGAACTGGTGGGTGAGGTGCATTGTGGGTAGTCATGTTTTTAGTTATTTTGTTCTATTTTGGGGTGTTTATGCATGTTTATTGTGGGGGATTGTTGTTCTTAGTTAATACTTCACTCAGTGTTGCAAATGTGGTGTTACTTTTTGTATGATGTTGGCATCATAAGTAAGGAGGTTGGTCAAAAGAATGACCACGCTGTACCGTTCCACTTTAATTAATACTATGATGGCTTTGGGTGTTCAGCTCTCACTGGCTGTTAGCATCAATGGGTGTTTGTGAGTCATGTGCAGTTAGCAACACATCTGGGTTAGTGTAGTATGTAATCAGTTACACCCAAAATTTTGAGTTCTATTCACTTATCAAGTTTGAGTTGAAAACATTAACATTTTGAGTATATTTTCTGAATAATATGAGTTGAAAAATGTAGAAAATCTTGAGTGAATTACTCCCTAATTATAAGTCGAGGAATATCAATATTTATAAGATAACATTGAGATAATTTAAGGCGACTGCAAATGTAATTTTTATTTTATGTAAACTTAAAATGTTTAAAAACATCACTTAAATATTTTTGTGTAATCTGTTACAAAGTAAATTTTGAGTTCTGTGAACTTATTAAGGTTTACAGTGTATGGTAGCAAGAACTGGGGCAGAACTTTCTGGATTTAGAGGCCAGACAGATGGCGTGCTTGTGTCTGCGAATGAAAGGTTACGTTCTGGTCAATTTGTTGGTGAAAATTTGAACACTGGTACGCTACACTTACTTTCCAAAGCTGTATACATATCTGCATAATCATTAGCCACTGTGTTATTTATAGAATAAGCTCCACTTTAGTTTAGCTCCTGTGTCCCGAACCCTCTCTCAGATACAGGCTGATGAACTCACCCACGGTCTGGTTAAACATCTGTCTTCAGCCTCTCATCCATCTGCTCCTCGGAGAAAACCATAGATGAGGTGTGTGTGTGTGTGTGCTTTATTCAAACACCATCTTTGTGACTTCTACAAAAACACTTTTCTCCTTAGCTTTATTTGTAGAAAACGTGTTGATTTTAATGGCTGCTTTCATAACAGCTAGCGATGGGTACCGAATTCGGTACTTCTTAAGGTACCGACCGAATTCCATAGTACCGACGGAGCACCGATTCACGTCATTTGAAACGGTGCCTCGTTTCGGCACCCGTCCTTCATAACGAGAACTTGCCTAGACAGCTGCGCGTGCGCAAGAGCGTTGTGTCGTCGGTCCTCTTCTCCATGCAGCCCTCGCACAGATCGGCTCTCTAAACGTTCTAGCCAGGCGCCGGTCTTACGCAGCACTGTTTCATTACTCACTACTCAGAGCTTATGGGAACCTGGGGAGCAGCTGCATTATTGCTTGGAGGCCGGGTCCAGCAGCCATTATGAAGGTAAACAAAACAGCAGAGGGCCCTGACAGCTAAAGCGTTTGTGTTTGAAGCTGCTTTCTTACATTCTCGGGTGTAATCAACTAAAACAAGAACTGGAGAATTTGCTTTTCTTACTCCAACTGAAATGGTGCCGGAAACATTCGTGATAATGAAGAGAGAAAATCCACAAGCTAGCAAAAAGGGTATCAAGTGTCAATTTATTAGATATTAAACAATATCTAACATATTTTCTGATGCACTTAGGTAGTTATATAATAAAATAAACGCCACTTGTAGTACTTCAATTATCCACTAGAGGGCCACAAACAGCAGGTTTCAAGGAATGTACCAGTCCTGTTAAAGAGGTAGAGCTGTAGCTGCAGGAGAAGTGAATATACAAATCTGGCGTCACAAATTTGAATCATTTCTGTTTATTATGGGTTGTGGCACGTAAAGGTAGAGGGACAAGTGGTAGTGGGATTTTTATACATTTCAAGAGCAAGTAATTGCATGGACTTTGAGACTTTACAAAAAATACAAAGGGTAGAATGCCTTCTCTGGGTCATGGACGAGGTCCTGCCGTCAATGAAGGAGTTTAAGTATCTCGTAGCGATGTGTCGGTCGCGAACGAACCGGGAGCCGGCTCGTCATTGGGAGCCGTCCCCTCCCCTCCCCCCTCCCGTCTTGCTTTGGTGAAAGCTACAGGCGATTGGTCAACATGTGTAACTGCGTGTCCAGACTGTTCACACACAGAGCAGTAGGGGCGGGG